GACGGCATGGGTGGTGTGTGCCCCCATATGTGTGCAAGGGGTATGGGTGGGCTGCTGCTCCAGACTCAGACGCCGGGCTCTTCCTAGTGAGGAGCTGGGCCTGGCTGCACTTGGGGCGGGTGGCAGTGGCACTGGCAGGCAAGGGAGTTTGCATCATACAGGGGGTTTGACTAGCCCTCAACAACTGACTGGGAGGGGGGTTTGCATGATAGTGGGGTTTGCACCGGGGGGGGGCGCTACAGCAAATTCTGGAGTGGCTGCAGCCCCTCTCCCTTAGGCCTCTGCAGTGGGGGAGGGAGTGGGGCTCCCAGGCGCCTGCCAGGGCATTCTGCCCTGACAGGCGCTGCCCAGCCAGGGCAAACGTGGGACAGCCATGAGCGGCCAGCTGGAGGGTGTTGGGGGTGGCAGCTCCTGCCACTGCACACATCCCAAGAGACTGTGGGGGGGGCTCATGTCTCCAGATCTGCACGTAGGGTGGGGGCAGGCTTGTGCCAGTGCTGCTCTGGGCTGTTTCTGTTGGGGGCTGGGCTAAACTGCACTCAGGGCAGGCAGTGGTGGTGCTGGGAGGGGACTCTAGAAGGGGCTGCATGCAGCCACCCCAGAATTTGCCATAGTCTCCCCCAGCCTCCCTTCCCAGCACAGCCTGGCCCAACACCCCTGCTGAGAACAGCCTGGCACGGCCCTGGCCCCAGCCCACAGCAACAGCCTGCCATGCCCCATGTGCAGATCCAGGGGTATGCACCCCCCTCCCATGCCCTTCCAGGGTGCATGCAGCAGTGGGAGCTGTCACCCCCTGCACCCCCCGGATGAGCCATTCATGGCTGTATCCCGTGCTCCACCCTGGCTGTACAGCGCCTGCCCCTTTTCCAGCCCCAGTCCCAGCCCTATTATCTCCGTCACCGCAGTGGCCTACAGAAGTGGGGCTATGGGAGGGGCTGCAGCCACCCCAAAATTCGCTGTAGCCCCCAAGCTTCCTCCCAGCACTGCCGCTGCACACCCTGAGCGCAGCCTGGCCCAGCCCCCCACCAAGATCAGTCCAGCGTGACCCCAGCCCACAGAACCCCATGCACAGAACTAGGGGCACAGGCTCCCTGTGCTCTCCCAGGGTGTGGGTATTGGTGGGAGCCATACCCCTCCACACGGCTCAGTGCCATGCCCCGCCCTGGCAGGGCAGCCCCTTCCCTAGCCCCACTCCCTCCCCCCCCAACAACAAACTTACCAGCTGACCCAGCTGGTCTCCACATGGCTGGGCTGCGCTCCTGGCTGCCCACATGCTGTGTTGTGGCTGTACGCACTCCCCTGCATACCTCCTACGGTCCTTTTAAATACCCCGAGGGGTACACATACACGCAGTTGACAACCACTGGTCTATCTGACCAG